TTATTGGGTCCTTGCAGGGAGTTGGTACATTGCTTCAGGCTATCTAGAGGACCTGCTGGAGCTTCTGCAGCAGTTTGAGAATGAGAAAAGCTGGAGATTTTCTGCGTTTTCTTCTTGCTGGAGAGAAATGAAGTTTTCTCTCATATATAGGTAATACATGCATTGGATTTCATTTCTTTCATGTTTCCTTTTATTTTCATAAAAAAAAACTTTTGTCTTTATACTAGTGCTTCATTTGTGCTCAAGAAAAAAGCATATGTCACTTGGGCTAGAATATAGGAAGAAAACTATTTTGGTGATGCTCAAGAGTTTTTTTTCATTTATTTGTTTGTAAAAGAAGAGAAAGAGAAGATAGTATTTTTTTCATTCAAGTATTGTCTGGCTGAAGATATGTAGTTTAATCTCTCAGTAGTATTGAAATAAGATTGTTTATAACTTTTTGCAGTTGCCTGAATACCCTTAGAAGAAAAAAAAGCATATTTTTCTCTTTTTCTTTGTCCTCCCATACCCCAGTACTCAAGAACAAATGCCATAGTGAAACCTGATAAGTGTAGATAGATATGGATGCATGACCTACATGTGTGTAAGATAAGTTATTAGTGATAATAACTGCAGAGAGATTTGGATGTATTACCTGTGTGTGTGTGTGTGTTTGTATGTCTGTATGTCTGTTTACGTATGTGTGTGTACATACCACTTCAACATTTGTATGTCTACCATAGTCTTTCATCCACAGGGGCCGTCAAAGTTTCAAGGAGTTATTAGAGTTTTCAGAAGAAGTTGCAGATATTACTAAAAGGTTCCTGACCCCTACCCAGAGCTTGAAGATGAGAGTGGGAGCTCTTTATACCTTGTATGGCCTTTACTATAAGCATCCTATAAGGTAAAAGTTATTAGTTCCCTTGTGCTTTGTATGGAACTTACGATATAAGACTTGCTTACTGCTGACTTTGTATTCTGTTTGCATATATGCTTACCTAAATAACTTAACATGAAAGTGACATATTTTCGATTAAGTAAAAGCATTAGAAAATATTGAATTTTTGTCTTATTTGCAACATTACAATTCCAGGCACTTCTTCAAGATACGTATCGTAAAGGAGGAATACTACCACCTAATGGAGTTGGTCGAGCCCTTCCGCTACAAGGCAGAAAATCCCGATCCTGCCATTTTATTCCGCACTTTGGAGACAGACGGTGCTTTTTATCACACTGCAACTACACAGGAAGTAAGGGAAATGAGGAGATAATATTAACTGATAAATTGAGTAATAACAGCATAAAAGTTAAGTTAGTATAGTCAAGTTATATATAACAGTGTTTTTACATATAAAGGAAGTAAGCAAAAATGAAGAATTAATTGAATAACTAATAATACAAGAGCTTTATAGATAGATAAATGTAATTGCGCTTCATGATTAGCATCTAACACTTCATATGTTAGCTTTTCTCTTATAAAATTACTCTTTTGTTGTGTCAGTTGTGTTTTAAATTATAAACCTGTCCCGTTATAACAGGCAGAACACTAGATACAAGCATTCTATCATACAGAGCTCTATTTCTGAGAAAAATAGATTCATTTATTGAAAGAGTAATCATAGCAAAGAGTACTAGAATTACATATAAATTCTATCCCTTTTTAAATCTGGTAAGTAAGAAAAAAATTGTGCAGACCGATTCTTTACAGTTTCCACGACTTTCTTACTAAAGATGGAATCACTTTGATAAACTTAATTAATAGTTTATAAAAATAGGTAACAAATAAAAAAACAAGTATATACATTTAAGATGAGGAACTTTATCCCCACATTGCAGTCAGTCCCCTCTGGCATCTCAAATTGCAGTTTGCAGTAAGGGAGATGTGATTTATTAAGTACAATTGGCTTTCAATACCCACAGCTGATTACTGTAGGAAAGAAAAATAGTTTTGCAAATCAAAAGAAGTTCAAAAGAAGTAAAATATGCAACAACTATCTTGTTCTTCTTTTATTCTTGGGGTAAGATCTCTCAACATAGATATAATACTATAGTTGTAGTTCACTTCAAGCTCATGTGAAGGTAAGTGAGGAAGTAGTAGTAACAGGAAAGACGTAGAATAAAGGGAGAACCAGTAAGTATCCCTTTACTGTTGTAATAGTTAATGTACTCAAGCCTATATTTATTCACCATGTATGGTTCTTGAAATATTTGGAGTATCAGCTATATAGGAAGGAGGCACAAACAGGTTTTTAGCATCAGCATCTAATACGTTATTTGGCGCATACAACCCAGTCATAGAAATGGGATCTTGAGCATGAATATAGGGTCCTGCCTGGAGCTGGCACTCTTCCAGTCATGGCTCACAGGGGGTACATTCCACACTCGTTTACCAATGGGAATAATCCAATAATCCTTCCTAAATACTCACTGAGTTTAATCTCTCTCCATGATCTTTGTTCATTTGTGGCGGGGCATTCCTGTCACCCCAGCCTTCAGACAAAAGTCCCATTAACCCCATCCTCAGTCAAATTTTTCTGTGATGGTATGTTCATATCATCTGCCCCTCAACCCAGATTTTTTCATGACATGATGATCACATTACCTTGATCACAGGGTTAATGTACTCTCGCTGTTATAACTGGCAGAAAAATGTAGATACAAGCTGTCTTTTTTCTTTTCTTTTTTTCCATACAGAGCTTCCAGTTCTTGTTCAAAATACTCTAACTAAAGATACAAGAGAAGGCTTTACAGTTTTTGTGTTTTCCAGAAGAGGAAGAAATTATTAATGTAAGTTTTGCATGACTCCTTACACCTACACTTTTTTCAGATGTGTTTGGACTTCCACTCTGCCGAACGGGAGGAAGTGGGCCTGAAGTATGAGCTGCAGCGCATTGCCACAACGTCTGCTGTTAGCCTAGCCATGCCCTTGGATGTTCTTGATACAGATGAAGCTCTGATGCAGCATTATGATAAGCTCAAGACTACTGTTTTAGGTAAGGACTAGTAACATTAAAATTTTACTTCTTTGGTTTACTTCCTATGTTATTCATCTTTCGTTATTATTGTGATTTCATTTCTTACTCTTTTTTTTTATCTCTAAGCCCATTGGATCTGGGTGACCATCATATCATGATGGGAATATGCCATCAAAGAAGAATTTGGCTGAGGGGAGCATGACAGGAATATACCATCATGAAAAATTTAACTGAAGGAATAACATACCAAGAGTGCACAAATCTTTTAGACTCAAATAACAAAATGTTGCTTATTGTTATTGTTATTGCACAGTTGTAGACTACCTGACTAGACTACCTGCAAGGAAAACAGTCAATTACCAACTTCATACAGCATATCAGATGACAGATATATCTTGGAAAATAGCATAAAGACAAAAAAATCCTCATGCAGACAAAGAAATAACAACATTGCAAAAAGGAAGCAAGGAGTCATGACACCACACACGATTGCAAATGTGGGTTACAAGCCTACTGTCCAGATTTTGTGCGGCTGTTGGATCCAATGGGTTAATTATCCCTTATCTATAATTTTATTTCCCTTATTATATATTCAGATTGCTCTTTTGTCTACCAATAATAAATTTATCAGAAATCATTGCACCATAAACTGACACTACTGTACCTGAAATTGAGGTTGATATACATAAACTGTATTGTTTAATAGCAGGTTGTTTAATAAATCTTTGGCCTTTATCAGATACAAAGACACCAGGAAAAGCTCTATCAATGGTGGATAAATCGGTCACATCAGAGGTGAAAAATGCCATATTGAAGCTAAATGAGGATCTCTTAGTTGCTGTGGGGATCAAGAACCCCTCCGGAAGTGCAAGTGAAGCTCAGCAGACAAGCTGGCTGTCCGATATAGGTGAGCCTTTCTATTATTATTATTTTTATTACTATCATTATTTTTATTGTTGTTGTGATCAGGTTGTAGTTTACGAAATATTGTAATGGAGATGCAGTGTGATGTGTGAAGCAGTGGGGTTGAAAAGATTTTAAGTCACTTTATGAAATAGTAGTTAATTAAAAGTGATTTCTAGATTAGAATAAAGAAAACAACAGATTCTCAGCAATATTTGATGTTAAATTTCATAAATCATCTATAGATTAATTTTCAGAGCTTATAGCCCCACATAGAAACCAAATAATGCTATATGTTCTTTGCAGGGCGACGACGATCTGAAGTCCGAAACAAAGCTGTCAGCTCATCCACAGCAGATGGGTATGTGAATAGCCGGGGACTCCTTGCCAAAGAAAAGTGTAACTCCAACCTGATATTGAGGGGAGGCAAAATACAGCACCTTAAAGGCCACAGGACGCAAACCAATAACCCAACAGAGGAAGGGGTCACTGATAATGAAAGTGATGTGGATAAGACACCTACCAGCAATAAAAGCAAAAAAGCACCGAGAGCATCCCGCAATATTATAGGACAAATGCTTACTGATGAGAAGATTAGAAATTACATGAAACCACCATCAGCAGAGGTCACCAATATTCCTTTGAGATCAATGGGAACCATAAAGGCTGCATCTAAAGCTAAGAGAAAGCAGTACAAACATAAACTAGCAGATGAAGAGGATGCAGATGACCTCCTCAAGATGAGTGAAGAGGATGCAGATGACCCCCTCAGGATGAGTGAAGAGGATGCTGACGACCCCCTCAGGATGAGTGAAGAGGAGAGTTCATGTGGCAAAGATGTATCCATTCCAGAGCACAAAAGCAACAGTGGTGGGACAAGAAACCCTCTTAAAGTGCCCAAGACAGAGAAATGTCCTAAAAGAAGAGGCAGGACTGGAAGGCCACGGGGGAGACCCAGGAAGATCCCTCTGCCTCAAAATCCACTCCCAGCCAAAGCAGTTGATGTTACTCAGTCAGACTCTAACAATCAGATTGTAACTCATGACACATCAGTTGCAATGCCTCTAAAGACAGAAGTGCAACAGGATGACCAGAGGAATGACAACAACGATGACCTTAATAAATTCATGATTTTAAGTGTACAAGTATCCAGTGATAACATTAATAACAAGTCAAAGAAGTTGAAGATCTTGAAATGTGATTGGAAAGCCATTTCAAAAGATGAAAAGAAACTTTTTGAACTGAGAAGAAAGTTACTTGGTTTGATGTTACCAGGGAGAGAGATAACAGATGATGATGTGCGAGACAGTTGCACTAAAGTGACAGTCACAGAATCGTCAGTTGAAAAGGTAGAAAACAGAAACTCCTCATCTTGCACAATAAATGCTATGGAACAGACACCAGAGCTGATGTCAGAAACTATGACTTCAAAATCTCCCCCAAATAAGAAGGGGAAAAGTAAAGCCCAGGGCAGCCCTGTCAAGCAAACGGGAGTGTTAATGATGCCAGTGAGAGTGGGGGGTGTGACACGTCTCCTTCCAATGCCAGGCTCTGCAGCAGAACAAAGCAAAGCCAGAATGTCAATGTCAAGACCTGACACCAAAACCCCTCATGTCCCTGTGCCATTTTGCACTTCATCTCCAGAGCTTGTACCCTCTAATCTTCAAAAAAATGATGTTCAAATTTCTACCCAAACAAATGGAGATCAGGCAACAAACACTTGTCTACCAGGAGATGAACTAGATTCAGTGATGGAACCAGGATCTCAGCTCCATGAGTTAGACTCTTTAAACCTTGATCCATTATTTTTGGAAAGACTGCCAATAAGGAAAAGAGAAGTTTTATGCCATCAAGTCACTACTGAAACTTCGCCCATAAAACAAAAGATACAAGGCCACGATAGTACGGAAAACACCAGGGCAAAATATAAAACAGGAACTATAGCATACAGTGCAATGGATTCATTTGTGGGTGATGAGGCATCATCACCCACTAGTTACGAAAATTCTGATGTGCAAGGGGATTCAGATTTCCAAACAGAAGATCCTTTGTATCTTTCTAAAAATGAAGTCACCAACACTAATCCACCTTTAGGTTCTGATCATGTGTATATCTCACCAAGGAGCCAAAGAGAGGCTTTAACAAGTACAAATTCTTTAGAGTCAATAAAATTATTACCAAGGGTGATACATGCAAGTGACCCTTGGCTTAACAACCCCTCAGCCAAAGTACCTGCAATGCCGATCATGCAGACTTTATATACAAGGGAACAAGCACAGATCAGTAGACACCAAGTACAAGTACCCCTTCAAGCTGTAATGCAACACCCTGATTCGAGTCTAGTACATTTACCTCAACATGTTACTATCATGTCTGACTCTTCACCCTTTGTGTTAGAGATGCCTCCACTTGTTCCAGTCCAGGAAATAGCCACAAGTAAAGCCTTTGCACTTCCCCAAGCAACATCTGATTGTGTAACTTTACTTGCACAAGGAGTACCGAGCAGTTCCTTCACATCACAGCATGTGGTTAGTCCTCAGGGGTCAGCACAATCTTGTAGCAGTCCTGTAAGTCATATATCAAGGCCATCAACCAGTGGTCATTATGCAGAAATGCAGCAGAATCCTAGCATGAGATGCATTCCATTGTTAAATGAGTCACAGTACATGGCACGAAATAGTACACCATCAAAGGTATCGGAAATTCCAAAGATTTTAGATATGGCAATGCAGACCACTCCTTGTAGTGAAAGATTGACAAATACAATAGACATCAAGGAAAATGTGGATGTTGGAGATGTGAAAAGGGTAGGAGGAAACATCCATTCACCAAATCAGCTGCAGACACCCAGGCAAGTCTCCAGAGTCATTCCCTTTACCTCTCCCAAGGAAGTAACCAGAGAAAAAGAACTGTCAGGGGAAGCTAGTAACCACAGTTCAAATGAGCTACCCAAGCAGACCACCTATAATTGTCAGCAGGAGAGGCGAGGAGCCCGGAGCAGCCCTGTGTGTACATTTTTGTACTCTCCAAAATACAAGGCTCTTTCTAAATTAAAAGGGACAGGAGGAATTGCTACTGGCACACCTGTTCATATAAAAGACAAGCCTCGAGTCCCTTTCATTCTGAAGCATTCACTTGTTCAGAAACGAAAGAAGTAGATTTAGTTTATCTCTTCTCTGCTGTTATTATTTTACAGCTCTGTCTCTTTTTAAAGAAAAATATTATTATTTCTAATTATGGAAGGAAAAATATCTTCTTTTTTTTAGTTTAGGAAATATTTTACCAAATACTCATGTTATATATTCAGAGATCTATCTTAATATTTAAGAGGAAGGCTACTCTGCATTTACATCTCCATAAATATTCATAGAAGGACAGGTTGGTGCTGTAATAGGTCTACGGAGATTTTTCCCTTCCTTAGTTACTGGTCATTAGTGTGTAAATATATTTTTTCTCTTTAGAAATATTTTTCTTCATAAAAAACAGATATCCTCTCTGTGTCCTGATTTTTCTTTTCATTTTATAGTATTATCCGAGGATAATGTACAAGAAATGCCATTATTAATACAATTTTTCTTCATGAATGTTGTAACTTTTATATTGAAATTATACTTTTTATATTAAAGTGGTCTACAAGAACAAA